TTCTAAAACTGTTGTTAAGTACTTCAAAAATACTTTTAAATAGATGATTTGAATCAAAATTCAGGCTTCGAATTTGCAGTTTCAGAGAACATAGTTGAGATAACCCAGTGAAAAAGACTGTGATGACAAGGTGTTGAACTAATAAGGGAAGTAAATTGGCAGTACTTAGGTAATGAGATACCACGTAAGGACATGTATTTTGTTTTTCTTTTCCAAAGTGCGATTGACTTGTAGCTCTGAACGGCATGCAAAATCTCTATAGCTATGTAATACAATGGATGATGTATTCATCGGTGTTTTGTTTCTAAACTTGGTTTAATTTATTACGGCTTCCGTGATTTTGCTTAATTTGCAAGTAAGGAGTGAAATTTTATATTAATATATTTTTTTCTCATTAAATACAGTTTATAACACTGCCTTCATGGATTTATTACTGCAGGCAGTATGAACCTTTCTCTGTAGCTTGGAAGATTACGAACTGAGGTGGTTTGTCCTTGTTTTTTTCTGGCTCTTTCCTTTGACTCTTCTTGATGAAGCAGTTTCATACACTTCCCTCTCAAGCGTGGATATGTCAGGGGATCAGCGTGATGGGATTCTGCTGCACTGCGTTTTCTTGCATTCAGCATTTCCTGTTCCCACCTAAGGATGATTTTGGGCAGCTTTTCAGGCATAATGACCACTTTTCAAGACAATCTCTGCATCTGGTTGCCCCCATTAAGAACGAGTTGGCATAGAGGGAGCTGGTTGCTGTATAACAGCGCTTGAAGCAGGCAAAGCCACACACAGAAACCTCTGGTACTGCTAAAATGGTTGGGTCCCGTGGATTTTTAACGTGGTTTGTGGGACGATCAGGCATTTTTAGGGTTGTCGTGGGAAGTAGCAGTATTGTTCATGGGGCAGCTCTTCACCTCTTTGTCTCCCTGCCATGTTTAGACAGGATGGGAAAAATAAACACAGCCCGTTGTTCAGGGTGGGGAAAATGTGAATTGCTCCATGTCCTGCCTCACTTGGAATACACGAATGTTGGAGTACAGAGCTGCAGATAAAATGTTTTCAGTGATGTCAAAGGTACCTGGAGAAGGTGAAAATGTTTAAAAGCTCATTTATCTAAACAGCCAAGAAATAGAAACACGTGATGAGGTAACCTATCCAGATTCCCCAGAATGGTATGAGTCAAAAGTCATAGCCACAAACAGTCTTTTTTGCTAATGGAAAACTTCCCAGGTTTCTTTTAATGCCTGTGCCGTCAAAGTATTATAACTTCAGCTTTCAGGGAAAAGTGAACAGTTTTACTGCCATAGTTTTGCTTGTGTTGCTCAAAAGATTCACTGTTCATGAAGAAAGGAAGAAAGAATGAATATTGCATAAAGTCGTCTGGTTAAGCTTGAAGCGAGAGATCTTACTGCAAATTTACTTGCAGCTGACCAAAAGTGGCGATTTGAATTAAAAATTTAACAGATATTGACAACTGGAGCCTCCAGTGTGATGATATAACCTACTTTGGTGCCATCCTAAATTAGAGAGTATTCAGTGATCCAAAATCATTAGTTCTAGATTAACCTTGTGTGGCCTGGATGGAATCAGCCCAATGGCGATTAATAGAAACAAGACAGGAAATCTGATCTAGTAATGACATTTGAGCCTGCTTCCTGCTGGTGCTGGGTTTAGATGTATTTTGAGCATTAATTAGCGTGGAGGTCTGTCTTTTTTATTATTTGAAATGGAACTGATATACGTAGTTGCTGTACAGACTGGCAAAGCAGGCACTGTGGACAGGCCAGGCTCTTTTCCTCGTCTTACTAATTAGATGGTGGAAGAGGGCCCTGTGTTTACCCAGTGTAAGCACGCAGAATTGTGGATTAGTCTCCACAACTGTACGAAGAAAGAATTGATAAAGTAAGATTAAATACTCTCTATGTCATGTTGTAATGCTGTGAATATGAGTGTAAATGATCTTTTGTGTGTGATTAGAAAAAAATCAGTAGAACAACCAAAAGGCTTAATTTTATATCACTCGAATTATGCAGTTTAAATTGATTAGTCATGATTTTTCATAAATGATATAAACATATTAATACAGTTTTTACTATTTTTAATCATATTTAATAAATACTTTAAGAGCAAGATTGTCAGCAGTGCATACATAATTAAAATGATCCAGGCATACTCTATTGAGGCTATAAGGGAAGTCAGTATCTACCTGACATTTCATGATGGAGGTGTAGGAATATGATCCTTTTTCTGTCTCCTGCTAATTTCTAATTTATAAAGGTGTATTGAGATTTAAAAACAGCACCGTTGCTGGAGCTAAGATCTGTTGAAAGTATTGGTCCTTAGTCTGAGGAATTCCCCACTCTGATGCAGTCTTTAACAGCCCGATCTTTCCAGAATTAAACGATACTTGAAGTAGCTGCTAAAGTACCTGCCGTGGGTCGCCTGCTAATGTGAAACTTTAATTCTCCTCAGGGAGCTCTGATCTCATTTGCCTTCAGTGCATGTGCAGCTCTGTCTAGATAAAGGAGTAAGGTGATTTTTTTTTTTTATGTGTTGCCATGTTCCCCAAAAGTAATCTTGATGTCACCTTCCCAGGTGAGGCTGTTTTCAGTCCAATGATTACTGCCCATAGTATAAAAACTCCATTTGACAACAAATTTTGAGATTTTTATGTTTACTTTTATACTATATTGGAATCACTACGAAACCTTTCAGATATCTTTTCCAAACAAAAGTGGAACCCACTTTTTTTTTCTTTCCAATCCCCACATATCAAGGCTTTTTTACTCTCCTCTCTCCCTGCTGAGACCTGAAAAAGTGTCTGTCCTAACCCTCTGAACCCTGTACTACAGGGAATGTTGTACAGCACTGTGAAACCTCATTTAATCTGATAAATCTCAGAAATATTTTGGCTTCGAGAGAGCATTGTATTTAGACAAAATGTAATTTAGTCAAAAGTATTCTAACCACCATCTCAGCGATCCTTCAGCATTCAACAAAATGAGACTCACATGAGCAAAAATGTTAATTGGATTTTTTTGTTTCCCTCTAGCTAAATCCCAAATTAAAAATCGCTAAACCCTGTTCATTGCTACACAGCAGTGGGTTTCTGAGCCCAGAGACTGGATTTCTGAAGACTGAGAGCAGTATCCTGGGTCCTCATGGTTTCTGTATCAAGGGGTAATGAGAGCTGCTAGCCAGCCATACACGAGAGCTTCTCAAAAACAATTATGAAATTTTCAAACTCATAGCCTGGGTATAGATTGTATTAAGAGTACACTCATAAGAAATTAATGAGGACTTAATGATTAATGGATACTGAATAAATGATTCATAGTTTATTGTGGAGTCCCAGCAAGTCAGCTGTATGCCTATGACTCTTCTGAAGTCCTTACAGCCTTTTTGACAAATACTGCTCATGTCTTTATAATTTTCATGACATATGTATATGTAAACTGCCTGCAGCTCTATCTTTAGTGTAAAGTGCAGACTAAAGTTTTGAAGTATTGGCTAGATTTTGGAACGTGCACATTCTCATTAAGTCTGTGTTTTATAATGTCTCCCTTATCTACCTCTTAGCAGCTGTTCAGGTTAGTGTGAGAGAAGAATTCAAAAAACCCATCCTTGTGTAGCACCTTTTGGAGTATGAGGAAGGCCTCATCAGTACGAACATTGGACAGCATAGTATTCTCTTCACATACCAAAGAACTGGACCAAAACTCTGGCCACATGAGGCATCGGTCTGATGTATTTAGACTTGTGACTGCCCTGCAGCTGGTGAGGAATGCTGTTCATACCCTAAAGCACTAGTTTCCAGACCTTCTCGGCTCACTTTCATCTTATCATTTCACTTGACTACCACGTGCATTTCTCATGCAGCTCTGAACTTAACATATTGGGCCAGTTTGCAGAAGATCCCTCCCTAAAGAACTCTGACTCTTGGATCTCTAAGGAAAAATTCTTTTCAGTCTTCACATTCCTGTTCCTTCTGTAGGCAGTGCCAGCCATGAAAACTTCCCTGCTATCCTCCCCTCAACTCCTCAGTCTGGTCAATGAGCAGTGGCCCCCTCTGACCTCCAGCCTGCTGCCTAAAATGCCTATTTCAGCATCATGTCAACAACAGATAGGCAGGAGAAAGAGCTAATCTTCTGTAAAGGTAACTTCTTGACTTGCTGTTTCCTCTTTCAGCTGCCGGCTCACCTCTTTGAAACTCTTTCCCTCCCTCTCTTCCTCCCTCTCTCTGTCCCTGCTCTTGCCATGTCTCTGCCACCATGATTTGTACCCTTGACTGTCTTCATACCAAGATCTTTGGGTTAGTTTCCATCAGATGCTTAGTATGTCTTCATATATTTGCTAAAGATTATTAATGATTCTCCTGTTACGTACACTTGGCACGTACAGTGACCAGTCTTCCTCTCTTTAGTGTTACTTGAGAGATACTAGCTGTGAAGCTGTTAGCTCTGTCTGAAAAATAATTTTCTTTTGGTTTTGAGGCTCCTTACATCCTCATGGCTGACTCATGACCTCTCTTATTATTTACTAGATTTTAGTGGCGTAGCTAGGAGACAAATACAGCAACACTGTCATTGTTTTGTTGTATTTACGCCTTTTAGAATATCTTAGGTAGCAGCAGAAACTTCAGTTCTATTAAAACGTTGCTAGATGTTGTATTG